ACGACGACGACGACGACGACGACGACGACGACGACGACGACGACGACGACGACGACGACGACGACGACGGAGCCTCCGCCTCCGCCTCGCTCCTCCACATCCCTCCTCCGCCTTCTCCCCTCCTCCTTGCTTCTCCCTCCTCGCAAACATTGATCTGGGGGTTCACAGGCTCCCCCCGGTGGGGGACCAGTCGGGACATCTGGGGCCGCGGATTGAACAAAATAAGATCGGCGGATGTCAGAGAAGAGGAGGCGATGGAGGATGAGGACGAGGAGAGGGAGGATGCGGGGGGAAGGGGGACGGGAGGAGGAGGAGGAGGAGGAGGAGGAGGATGAGGAGGAAGAGGAGGAGGAGGAGGAGGAGGAGGAGGAGGAGGGCGAGGGGGAGGGGGAGGGGGAGGGGGTGGAGAAGGAGGAACTGTGGGAACTGTGCATGAGCGACAACGAAAGTCGCATCCCCGAAGGGAGCACTTAGGCAAATAAGTGCGACGGAACGGGACAAGGGCAAGTCGCCTGGCCCACTCGCGGCCGCTTTCCTTGAGGCGGTGTGCCGCTCCGGTGGTGCTGCGAAGAATCGAAATCCTCGCCCCTGGAGACGACACAGGCCCTGATTCCGCGGACCCCGCTGCGCCGACCCTGATCCTGCGGGCCGGCTACGCAGACCCAGGAGGGCAAACATGTGCCACACCTGACTGTAAGAAACGATCGTGATGAGAGGGGGTCGAACCCTCCACCACGCAAAACAACGGCCGCCTGCTTGTCTCCGCCAACTTGGGCCAATTCACTGACAGTGTGCCCTCCGCTTGAGGTAGCGCCGGTGCCAGGATACGGGGGTGGAGAAGGAGGAGGAGGAGGAGGAGGAGGAGGAGGAGGAGGAGGAGGAGGAGGAGGGGATAGGAGCGGAGGGGGAGGGGGAAGGGGAGGGAGGGGGGGAGGGGGAGGAGGAGGAGCAGGAGGAGAGGAGGAGGAGGAGGAGCAGGAGGAGGAGGAGGAGGAGGAGGAGGAGGAGGAGGCGCAGGAGCAGGAGCAGGAGCAGGAGCAGGAGCAGGAGCAGGAGCAGCCGGAGGCAGGAGCGAGAAGCGCGGAGGCAGGAGCGAGAAGCGCGGAGACGGGACCGCGGCGCCAACACCCCCGCAGGCCACTGCGCCCGCGGCCGAGGCGGCGGGCCCGTCAGAGTTCCCACCGAGGCCCCCCGCGGCCCTGGTGGACCCGCGGGAGTGGGCCCGAGGCGCCTGGGCGCGGGCAAGCGGTCGGAGGAGAATCGAGTAGGTTAGGAGTGACCCTTCCCCTCCCCCTCCCCCCTCCTTTGCCCTCCCCCTCTTCCCTCTCCCTGCCCGCCCCGCGTGCTTGTCGTTCGTCTGTTGTCCGTCGTCCGTCGTTTTCGTCGTCGTGTCGTGTCGTGTCGTCCCCCTGCACTCTGCCACGGGGCTTCCAGTCGCTGCTTTTTCCCCTCCAAAAAGTGGCCCTTCGCCGGAGTGGCCTTCGCTGCGGGCTCCCCGGGGTCCCCCCGATCGCCGGGCGCGCTGCGGCCGTGGCTGCCTGCGCGCCCGGAGGTGGCCCCCCCGCGACCCCCGACAAGGCCGCGCACCCCACGGGCCACTCCTGCCTACTTTATTAGTGCATTTAATTGGTTTTAGGGTTTAATTGGTTAGCGCAGAGCTTCCAAAGACCAAACATTTTGAAAACCAATTGTTTCCACTACTAAAGTACTCGGGGCCGCTCCTGCGCGCAGCCCGAGGAGGAGCCGAGCCGCGACTTGTCGTCTGGCGGCGCGGGCGAGCGAGCGCGCGACGGCAGAGCCCGCGGGCCGCAGCCCCGGCACATATGGTCGGGGCGCGGGGGCGGGGGTCCACGCAAGCGGGGGTCGGTCCGAGCGCCGGAGCCTGCAGGATCCTGCAGAGCGAGGGGCGCACTGACCCCGGCTTGGGGCGCAGGACAGCTGCAGGATGCTGCGGGATGCTGCAACGCCCGTGCGGCCTGGGTTTGCACTGGCCTGGGCCCCGGGCCAGTGGATCTCCGACGATTTTGTCGTTGGCAGCCTTGGCGGACGCGCGCGCGCGCGGAGCATGAGATTCAGGTGCGCCTGAGCTTGGGTTTGCCTACGTTGTTTGACGCGCCCACCTTGAATTTCGACGATCCAGCTTGCGTGGGGTGTCTGCAGCGGGAGCTCGCGCCAAATTTCAGATTTGGTCTTGTCACTGCCTTGACGGCCTCGCCAGGCCATCTAGAGTCCCCCGCTTCCGAGACGTAATATACGCTTCCCCGAACTAGGGTTGGTGGAAAGGAGGAGGAGGAGGAGGAGGAGGCGGAGGCGGAGGCGGAGGAGGAGGAGGAGCAGGAGGAGGAGGAGGAGGAAGAGGAGGAGGAGGAGGTAGAGGGGGAGGAGGGGCAGTTTGATAACCAATAATTGCAACAGCATAACTAATTTCTCGAGGGTCTGGGCGGACTCCTTGGATCGGCGTTGGGCTCCGCTCCCTGGCGTGCTGGGCGCGACAGGCAGGAAGGTCGTTATCCAAGGACGTCTTTTCCGCTGCTGTTTTCGGATGTAGCCCGAACGTGTTTCTCGCGAGGTGAACCGACTGCTATGGCTCTATATTCGGCTGAACGAACCCAGCAGACGGCCGTTTTACTCTCGGCTGCCCTTCGTGCAGCCCAGTAGACAACAAATAGTCCATAGCAGGCGGCCGAGCGCGCAACATGTGTCGCAACCATAGCAGTGTTTTATCTTGTCTGGCTATCGAGAGCGCAAATCATGACGCAATCAAGGGCAGGCGGTGTTGTTCTCGTCGGCCGAGGGCGCAACCTATGACGGCACAACCAAGAGCGGGCTGTTTTACGATCGACCGCCGAGCGCGCTCGTTGCGTCGCAACCAACAGCAGGCTGTTTTTTTCTTGTCGGCCAAGTGCGCAACACTTCGCGCAACCAACAACAGGTTACTTTATACTCGACCGCCGCGTATGCGACTAATAGCAGTTTTTTGTTGTTCGGCCCCCAAGTTCGCTGCTTATGGCGCAGCCAACGTTTGGCCGTCTTATTCTCGGCGGCCGAGTGCGCCACCGATGGGGCAACCAATAGCCGACCGCCGTGTTCTCGACGGCGGAGTGCGCAGCCTATGGCGTAATCAATCGCAGGCTGGCTTATCATCGGACGCCGAGTGCTGTTTGCACCGCCGAGGGCGCCAATATTTGTACAACTAAGTACAGCCGGTGTTTTGTCTCGGCTGCAGAGTGCGCAATCTATGGCGCAACGTCCTGCGCAACCCGCGGATGGAGCAACATGTAAGCCACGGAGCGCGCAAGCGATGGCGCAGCACACGGATGCTGAACCCCGTGGATGGCGCGCCCCCATCGACGCAACGACGCAACCCATGATATGGCGCACCGTATGGATAGCGCAGCGCATGGACGGCGCATCCCCATGGATCGATTATCGCATGGCGCAAGCCGTCGACGGCGCAACACATGGATGATGCAGCGTAAGGCGCAATTCGTGGATTGCGCAGCCCATGGCGCGCCGCGTGGGTGGCACGCACACGCACGCACACACGCACGCGCACACAAACACACACACACACACTCACACACACACACACACGCTACACACCACACGCACACCACACACATACACATACAAACGCCCGCCCGCCCGCACGCACGCACGCACGCACGCACGCACGCGCGCACGCGCGCACGCGCACACACACACACACTTTGGCGCTAGTGGCCTCGCGCGCGGCGATGAGGCGGAGTAAATTCAGTAGAAGCACTGAGCGTGCGGTCGCGACCGGTGCACACACACAGACACACACTTACCTGGCAGTTTCTGCAGGACTACGCCCGACATGATGCTCGCCGGATGGACTGGCGGTGGGGCCCATGCGTCGAGCTTTCTTATGGTTCGGTTCGCCCCTCGCCTTTCCTCTTTCCTGGGCCCCCCCCCCGACCACCTGCCCCCCATCGAAGACGAGGTCAGGACGAGGATCAATTCGGGTGACGCCGCGGCCTTCTCAGAGCATCCCGGACCGCTCTGACGGCTTTCCGGAACACTCTGGAACGGATTTTTCATCCTCGTCCTGGCCCGGTCCTACCGTCCGTGATGTCCTTCCCTCCCCCTTCGCCCTTCCTGCCATCCCCCTCCTCTCTCCTCCGCTCCAGCATTAAGTCGGGCGTGTCCCTCTACGGGAGGGATATCCAAAAATGGTCCAACAATAGTCTGTGGATGATTATTTGGTTTCTTTGGAGTTCCTGTGAGTATTTTTTTCTCTTCCGGTCCAGAGTCCGCCAGTAGGGGGACATGCCCGACCTGACTCCACCAGCTTTTTGCACATGTGCATCTCCACGCCCGCACGGACCGCGCGGCGACGCCCGACAGGCCGCCTCCGGGGCACGCCCCCCCCGCCGCCCTCCTCGGGAGGTGCCCCCCGCGCACGCTCGGAGGCACATCGGCGCTCGCTGGCTCGCCCGCCTCGCTCGCTCCTCCGCCTCCTCCGCCTCCTCCTCCGCCTCCGCCGCCTCCTCCTCCGCCTCCTCCTCCTCCGCCTCCTCCTCCTCCTCCTCCTTCGCCTCCTCCTCCTCCGCCTCCTCCTCCTCCTCCTCATTGCGTGACGTGCCCTGTCTCCGCTTTCACAGTCGTGGGGCGCCGCGGGCTCGCTGCCCCCCCCCTCCCCTCCCAGCTCAGGATGCAGCCCCTGGGAGGCTCCGTTCGGAATCGGCGCCGGTAGATCCTTGGTCGAAGACTGACCTAATCTGACCTGGCGGAATCCCGCTTAACATTTGGCTTCGTCATGCTTAATCCAGTTTACTCCCGGGCGCACTTCGGCCCAATTGTTCGGGGCAGCGCGAGACACGAGTAAGCCGGAGCTCGGGTTAGCCGTCGCTTTTTTGACGAGCGCGTCTTGGATGTTGACGGTCCGATTTTCGGGGCATGTCTGTAGTGGAAGAGCTCGCGTCAAATTTCAGGTTGGGTCTCGTCATTGTCATTGATAGCCCCGTCAGGCCAACCCGAGCCCCCCGACTCCGAGTCATAAGTCTCCCCGCATTGTAACCGTTCTGGCGAAGCCCTTCCAGGAGGGGGGCCCTGCGCGGCCCCTCCTCGGTCGGCGATCCCCGCCCGCTTCAGGAGTCGCGAGCTCCGCCGCCGCCGCGAAAGCGAAGGCCGCCGCCCGAGAGATCGAGGCGAAGTCCGAGTCCGTGCAGGACGCCCGGCCGGCCCGAGGGGGCAGCGGGCAGGCAGGGCAGCCACCGTGTTAGCCCAAGGAACGCAACGGAAGGAACGGAGGAGCTCCTTCTGACCACGGCAGGCTAGGGCTTGTGTTTCGAATGCTCCGATTCGACAGGAGGGTTGTCATGTCACGTCCAATATGGGTGGTCATGTCTTGGTGCGTTAGGGGTCGAACATCGCGCATCCATCGAGTAGGGTATCGGTATCGAATCCATAATTGATTCATCCCCGAAGAATGATATTGTATATGCGAATAAGTGTAAACAAGTTGAGTAGACTGACCACCATTCTACACTATCTGTTGCAGACTCGGCGAACAAAGACAACTGGGGTGAATCAAGTCGTCGATCTCTTACTGGAGTCCAGTGGGAAGAATCCACACCTGATTGCCCTTTTTTCGCTGATTTTTGTTTTTTTGGGGCGGGGTCCGATCTTTCGGGCGCCGCCCGCCGCTCTGTTGGCAAACTGCGCACCCTGGTGGCCCCCCCCCCCCCGAGGCACCCTTGAGGCCCCCACGGAGGCGCCCTTGCGGCCTCGGGAGGGCTACCCCGAGACCCAGAGTTTGAGAGCAGGGAAGGGTACCCATGCTCGGAAGCGGGAGCACACATTGGCAGCGGCGAGCTGCTTCTTTGATCCCAGGACTCTTTGTTTTGAGGGTCGGGGGCGAAGTCGGGGCGGTGTGGCGTATACTTGTTGTTCCGTGTGTTCTCCCAGGGAAACGACGACAAATGTGTGCAGCAGGATCCTGTGTACACGAGGATCCGCTTTCCAGTGCGAAGTTCGGTGCGGAGCCGGTAAAAGCGTCGGTGTATATAGAGTCCGGCTCCTTACACACCGTTACCCTTATCCCGTTTTCCACCTTTTCGCCACCCCTGGATTCGCATCGAAATTCTGGTCAGAACGCGCACCCCAGTAAAGGTCTGGGGAGTAGCTGTACCGCTACCTTCTAGTTCCCCCCAGAGCGCATGGACACCTGGATCCTCGAACTTGCCCAGACATCCGACGTACTTTTTCGCAGGCTATTGTTCTCCCCCAATTCCCGAGTTCCGCTGGAAAAGTTTGGCCGCTCAGAAAAGGCGGGGAATCTTGAGATACATCCCGAGGGGGCTATTCGGACACACCCCTATCGAGGATGGACGCCCCCCCTCGTATATCCCAGGGTTGGGCCCCAAATGTTTGATCCTCTCGAAAACCTCACGAAACCTGGGATAGGGGTCGGCGCATCCCCTGTTACTGTTTGTTGTTCACGACGTGGCTTCCAGGAGCTCTTTACCTCTTCCCAGGACCGGCGCTTCATCCAGAGTCACGCTTGTTGCCGGTCCCAGGGTCCGGCAAGGGCCATAAAAGGTCAGAATGTTCAAGGAATTGCCTGTTGTGATTTTGTCACGACGCGAAGTTTTGGACAGCATTTGACGCGGATCCAGCAGTGGCGAAGAGAGGCCCCCTGGAGGCTCGAAAAGGCAAACAAAAATCCAAGTTCCATCCTATGACCTCGCGCCCGTCGACCCAGGACCAGCTGGCGGCCATCGTGGCTGCGGCCAAGGCGCGCCCCAATTTGAGGAGGGGAGGGGTGGGGGATGGTGAGGGGAGTGGGGAGGAGTGGGGTGGGTGGGGAGGAGGGGGGAGGGGGAGGAGGACGGGGAGGGGCGGGAAGAGGAGGAGGAGGAGGAGGAGGAGGAGGGTCAGGATGGAAAGCAGAGTGAGGAGGAGGAGGAGGAGGAGGAGGAGGAGGAGGAGGAGCCCAGCCCCTCATGACGACGATGGCCCCTGTCTCCCGTCCACTACTCCTTGCCGGCTCCCCGTCCCCTCCTCCTCCCACGGGCGCGCGCCCTGTGGCACGGGCGCACCCGCCCCGGCGGGGAGCGGGGTGCAGGGCAAGGGCTGGCTGGACGGGAGGGCAAAAGGGGGGACGAGCGCAACAGCTGCTGCCGCCAGCCTCGTGCCTGCGTTTTAAATGTATGCTCCGCGTGCGGATCATGCACTAAACATGCAGGGATCTAGTATTAAGAACAACGATGAGTTCATGCATACATTCACTCATCAATTAGTCATGTATCAAGCATCCTATGCTTTTAAACATCCGATGTATTAAGAACTGCCCTGTGCAGCATCCCACCTCCCCCCTCCCGGCCCTCGCCTCCCGCCGTCGCCGCGGGTCGCCCCCTCGTCGCCGCCGTTCCTCCGTCGCCCGCCCGTCCCTGCCGCAGTTCACTTGCGCGTGCATCTGGCCGCCTCCTCCCTCGAGTCGCCCTGGGCCCGCTGCCGGCCGCGTGGCCGCGCCCCCGCGTGCGAGCCGCGCACCGCCGCCCGCGAGGGGGAGCGCGTCGGGGTCCGTGAGGACGACGTGCGTGTGCTGTCGGGGCCCGCGGCCGCGAGGGAGTCCGGCGGCGGTCGAGCAGCGGCGGCGGCGCGCGTGGGGGCGCGCAATGGGGGCGCGGGGGGGCCATGGGGGGGCCGAGGGCGAAGGGAGCCGCACGCAGGCCATGAGCGGCCGAAGCTGGAGCACATACGGTAGGTTTGCGTCGTGTCGACCAGCGGCGACCCCAGCGCGGGCGTTCAAGGTTGAACGCCGCCGGCGACCCAGAATCGATCGATGTTGAACGATCGGACGTTGCGGCAGCGGCCGATCGTTCAAGGTTGAACGATCCCTGCGGTGTCAAAAGCCAACGCTGGGGTCGGCACGACACGAACCTGCCGTACCAGTGGCGGGCCGTTGCTTCCAATCCCAGGACTTCGTGAGGGTCGGGGGCGGCGTCGGGGTTTGTGTGGTGTAATACTGTTTCCTGTTTTTCCCTACCTGGTCCTCGTTTTCCCGGGGGGGACAGCGGAACATGTATGCACCAGGATCCCGTCTACGCCAGGGTCCTGTTTCCTGTGCGAATGTCAATGCAGCGCCGGAAAAAAGCGTCGGTGTATAGATCAGGAGGGAAAAAACATACAGACAATGAATCGTCGATTCCCCAGAACATATGGGAAACTATAGGCAGTGGGGGGGACGATACAAACCCAGACAATATAGGAAAATATGGGGGATCTTTTTATTCGTGTGTATTTATTTGTGTGTCCCAGGGCCCCTTCAATAGAGTGCGGTTCCCTAGAATGGGGTGATGGGGGGGAACACGACGGCCGAGTTACTTGAGAGGCTCGCGCCATTATGCCGACCCCCAGACGAGGCGTGGAGTCCACGGTCGAGGCGTCGTGGGGCCCGCGGGCGCCGTGTTGGGCTGCCCGTGGGCGTCTTGGCAGCTGTTCGAGGGGCCTTGCGGAGCCTCTCTGGGCGGCAGTTCTGAAGCGTCCTGGGGGACCGCTTTGGGGGCCTGTTTCGGACCTCTTGGACACTGTGTGGTGACGTCTCTGGGGGCGTCCTGAGAGCTGCTTTAGGGCCCCGCGGGGCCTCTTGTCACCGAGAAAAAAAAAGAACCCCAAACCCTAGTAACACAGTGAAGATGTGGCCTCACTGAGGTCCCTGGGAGAATACATCCGGGCGGTTTGGTGCGATACTTCTGTAGAAAAGAGCGCCGTATCCCTATCGTTTTTCCCCGATCCGCCCAGGGCACGGCGCGGCGGTTGCCGCGGGCACCCCCCCTTCGCAGGCGATTTCCTTGCTCCCCCAAACCCACGACTCTTCGACGACAGAGGAAAAGGCTCAGAAGAGAGGGGATGCCCTGGGACACAACCCAAGGGGGCCATTCGGACGAAGCCCCAATCGAGGATGGGCGCCCCCCCCATCGTGCATCCCAGGGTCGAAGACAGCTCAGGAGGGGCAGGAAACACACAGACACGACTGATCGCTGCTCCCCAGGGAGATCTGGGAAATTATGGGAAAAGGTGGAGGGGGGGAAGACGACAACCCAGAACATGTTGGAAAATTGGGGGAATTTGGGGAGTCTTGTCTATTCATTTGTGTCCCTGGGCCCCTTGAAAAAACCTCCCAATCCCTGGGATAGCGGTCCTCCTCCTCCTCCTCCTCCTCCTCCTCCTCCTCCTCCTCGTCTCTCCTCCTCATCCTCCTCCTCCTCTTCCTCGTCCTCCTCCTCCTCCTCCTCCTCCTCCTCCTCCTCCTCCTCCTCCTCCTCGGGGGAGGAGGAGGAGGAGTGTCTTGCGCGCCGGGCTTTTTGTCCACCCGCGGCTCCCGAAAGGCGGCGCACCAGAGGTCGCTCTTGCCCAAGGGTCCCTCTTTTGCGTATGGCCGAGCCTCGGGTCGCCCTTTTTCTCTTCCCCGCTGCAGTCGAGGCGCTGGATGGAGGAGCGCTCAGGCCTGAGTCTGGCACGTCCCCCTTCAGGAGGAGTGCGCAGAACTAGTCCAGCAAATCGTATGGGGACGATCTGTTCTCACTATTTGTGAATATGTTTTGGATATTCTGAAGGGCACTGTTTTTGATTTTTCGTCCAACGTCCGCCTGTAGGAGGACGTGCCCGACCTACAGTCAACGCGCCTAGTAAGGACGCGCGCCTTCATCTAGGGTACCTTTGTGTCCTTGCCTCTGAGGCCCGTCCTTACCAGTATCACTGGTCGCCCGCTGGCCTTAAAAAAGACAACATCGGCCTCCACGGGTCTTGCGTCCTCATCACCCGTCCTTATACACGTTTTGATTGTAAGCCCAGGGCTCAGGAGGGGGCTCCGGTTTGTTCGCGCCGCGCCTCGGATCTGGGCACGCCGGGGCCTGCTGGGTGGCCGAGGCTCGCCGTGGCCAGGCGAGCCCCGTCGCTTTATTTGGAGCTACGCTCCGCGGGTGGCCCAGGAGGGGTACGAAAGCACACGTGCACAAAGCACTGTCCATGCGCGGGGGAATCGGGCAACGATGGGAAGTGGGGGGGGAGACGAAGGGGAATAGGATGGGAAGTGGGGGGGGAGACGAAAACCCAGACCAATACATGACATATCTCTATATATATATAATAACACACATGGATATATGGACATATATGTATATAATACATACACATATATACATATATATATATATACACATAAATATACACATATCTATATCTCTCTCTATATATATGTATATGTCGGCGGCGCCCCGTGGCACGAACCCCCCCCCCAGTACCACTGGGGGATGTCGCGCAGGCCGCACCAGGTGCCGCCGACGGTTCAGAACCCCCCCCCCCGTCCCTTTACCGGGGGGTGTCGTGCAGGCCGCATTGGGGAGGGCTTCGACCTGGACCCCCCCCCCCCTGGGAGTGGGGGGGTGGGAGTGGGGGGTAGGGGTGGGGCGGGGGTGCGGGTGGGGTCAAGTTAGCCAGCTCGAACGAGCCAGAGGGCTCCTTCCATTCCCACCCGCCCTCCCACAACATAAGAAGCAAGTGCGTCGCGTCCGACGCTTGTCGCTCATCTTATATCGTGGGCGGCTAGACGTTCAGCGCGCGACAAGAGCTGCGTCCCATTCCTGCCGCGTAGTGAGCAACGTCGACGAGGAACAAGACCGCGCGCGATGTACGCCGCGCCCCGCTCCGGCCTCTCATGTTGCATCATCGGCGACAACATGTCCAGCGCGCGAAGTGGGCCGCGTCTCATTCCAGCCACGCGTGTTGTACCTCCAATCGTTTCGCTCCTGCCGCGCATGGAGGAGGGGAAGAAGGAGAAGGAGGAGGAGGAGGAGGAGGAGGAGGAGGAGGAAGAGGAGGAGGAGGAGGAGGAGGAGGAGAGGAGGAGGAGGAGGAGGAGGAGGAGAGGAGGAGGAGGAGGAGGAAGAGGAGGAGGAGGGGAGGGGGAGAGGGAGGGAGGGAGAAACTGAGGAGGAAGAGTAGAATGCTTCTTGGCACTTCGCGTGGCGTCCCATTCCCGCTACGCGATTCGCAGCGCCGACGGGGAGAAAGTACATGTTGGCAAGAAAAACGTCGACGATGTTGTGTTATTCGACATGTAGGACGGGGGGTCCCGCCGCGTTTCAATCCTGGTACACTTTTTCGCAGCGTCGACAAAATTATACTGGCGAAGGACCCAACCATATGCGATTGTGAATAACGCTTTGCGGGTGCCGCTTTCGGTGAAGCTCCTTATGGGGCCACGAAAGGCGTGCCACGAAACGCTGTCCTGGGCGTACGGGGCGCATGAGGGCGGTAGCACCGGGGCCTTCGGTGGAGCTCCCTATGGGGCCACGGAACGTGTGAGGGGTGTGCCGAAGTGGGTGCGGCGCCGCCATGCCAACGCAGCCACTGGCGCCTTCGGTGGAGCTCCCTATGGGGCCACGAAGCGTGCGAGGGGTGTGCCGAAATGGGTGCGGCGCCACCATGCCAACGCAGCCACTGGGGCCTTCGGTGGAGCTCTTTATGGGGCCACGAAGCGTGTGAGGGGTGTGCCGACATGGGTGCGGCGCCGCCATGCGAACGCAGCCACTGGGGCCTTCGGTGGGGCTCCCTATGGGGCCACGAAGCGTGTGAGGGGTGTGCCAAATTGGGTGCGGCGCCGCCATGCCAACGCAGCCACTGGGGCCTTCGGTGGAGCTCCGTATGGGGCCACGAAGCGTGTGAGGGGTGTGCCGAAATGGGCGCGGCGCCGCTATGCCAACGCAGCCACTGGGGCATTCGGTGGGGCTCCGTATGGGGCCACGAAACGTGTGAGGGGTGTGCTGAAATGGGTGCGGCGCCGCCATGCCAACGCAGCCATGGGCTGGGGCCTTCGGTGGAGCTCTAACTGGGGCCACGAAACGTGTGAGGGGTGTGCCGAAATTGGTGCGGCGCCGCCATGCCAACGCAGCCACTGGGGCCTTCGGTGGAGCTCCTATGGGGCCACGAAGCGTGTGAAGGGGTGTGCCGAAATGGGTGCGGCGCCGCCATGCCAACGCAGCCACTGGGGCCTTCGGTGGGGCTCCCTATGGGGCCACGAAACGTGTGAGGGGTGTGCCGAAATGGGTGCGGCGCCGCCATGCCAACGCAGCCATTGGGGCCTTCGGTGGAGCTCCCTATGGGGCCACGAAACGTGTGAGGGGTGTGCCGAAATGGGCGCGGCGCCGCCATGCCAACGCAGCCACTGGGGCCTTCGGTGGAGCTCCCTATGGGGCCACGAAACGTGTGAGGGGTGTGCCGTGATAGTGGCAGGGGGGGGAGGGAAGGGGGAGGAGGCGGAGGAGGAGGAAGGAAGGAAGGAAGGAAGGAGAGGAGACGTGGGGCACCGTCTCTTCAAAACGAGGACCCAACACCACAGGATGGTTGGGAAAAACTCTATGTCGACGAGGAAAACGTTGACTTTGTTTTTTTGATGGGTAGGACGCGACCACCCGTTTCCGTTTCTGGTTACCTAAGCGATGTTCATTCCGTCACATTCGTGTTTTTTTCTCGCAATTCGACGACATGTTGGCGAGAAAAAAGTTGAGTTGGTGTTGGTCTTTGGCACTCACACTTAGGACGGCGAGGTTGCTATCGGCCAGCTAGGTGGGGACGTGGGGGTGTTTAATCATTGGAAACAAGGATGGGGGGAGGAGGAGGAGGAGGAGGAGGAGGAGGAGGAGGAGGAGGAGGAACTGGCAATGTTGTCGACATTGCAGGGCACGTGGCGACAGGAGGCAGTTGCAACTCCCAGGTGGGCCACCTGCCCTGGACGACGTTCTGAGCCTCCTGGGAGGGGTCGGCGGAACGGCCGCGTACAAAAGAGCGGCGCCGCCTTGTTCCGGCACGTCTTGGGGGCGGTCGCGCATCCGGGTGGACGTTCGTGCCTAACTGCCGGGGGGGGTTCGTGCATGCCGGGACGTTCGTGCTTACCGGGGGGCTTCGTGCCGGCTACCGGAGGGTTTCGCGTTTGTACGGGGGGGTGTTCGTGCCGGCTCGCACCGGCGGTGCCGCCGGCTCGAACCCCCCCAGGATGGAGTGTACCGGGGGGGGGTCTCGCTCCGCACCAGGCACCGCCGTCATATATATATATATATATATATATATATATATATATACACACATGAACATTTGGCGGACCCAGGGAATTGTGTGCATTTGTTTGTGTGTCCTTGGGTCCCTTTGGTGGCAGCGCGCTGACTGCGCCCAGGAACTCAAATTGCATTTTCGCTGCGATCTCTGCAATGCCAGGCTGTCTTTCGTGCTCATGGCCTGTCGCGGCAGGTCATCCGAGGCGTCGGGAGGAGCAGGCGCCGTGTTTCTGTCTCCTTTCGCGGCCCTCTCGGGAAGGTCTTGGGCCTCCCTCTGGGGCGCCTCGAGAGCGTCTTGGGGCTTCTTGGGGTTGGCGGACGTCGGCGACTCGAGCGAAGATCAGCACGGCAGCTTCTCTCTTTTAAAGGGGGCAAAAAAGCAGGCGCCGCGAAGAGATCCAGAAGAGAAATACTAACAAAGTCGAACATTTAATGAGATATATTCGCCATCCCTGGGCCCCCGGGAGGCCTCTCCGTCGCCGTGGCCGAATCCGCCTCGAGATATCTGGCCACGAGCTCGAGGGTCGAGCCTCAACGACGAAGGCGGCGACAATTGCCGCCGGCCACGACGACGCCGTGTTCGCAGGCCTAGAGGTTGACACCAACACCAAGATCGGCGGTGTGCCTCCTCCGAGGGAAGACGATCCCGATCTCGGTGACAGTGGTAATATTATGGCTTCTCAGGTGACCGAAATATTACCACCAACACCGAAATCTAGGATCGTCTTCCCCCTGTGGAGGCAACCCCCTGAGCTGGTGTTGGTGCCAATTTCCAGACCTCCAACGTGTGGTTTTCGACACGCGGGCGCGATAATTATGCGCCGGTGCCGCAGGCGAGGGCGGCGAAATCCAGCGGCGAGCCCCTGGCAGCGCCCCAGCAGCCGAAGGAGCTGCCGATGCTGCTCTCCTGACGGTGCTCCGGGGGACAGTCAGGGCTCATGTCGATGCCGCCGAGTCGATTCGATGCGATTTCGATGGCTGCCGATCCCGAGTCGATCCGACCTGGGATTCCGATTTGAGTTCCGCTTTCTTCTTGGAGGCATACTCGCCTGCCGATTTACGCCGAGTCGGCTTTTCCCGACTCGGCTGCCCATTTCCGCCCATCCGATGCATTCCGATGGGCGATCCGACTCCTCGATTCGATTCTGGGCTCTCCTGGGCACTCGTGTGGCAGCCCTGACCTGGCCAGCAAGTCCCCTCCTGGTCCTCGCTGGCGGATCCAGGTCTGGGGGGGCCGTTCCCCCCTCCCGCCCTTCACCGATCCGCGTTTCTCGGAGCTGCCGTGTGGCCGACCTGGGTTTGCAGGCGTGGGTTGGCGCTGGCCCGGGTCCGCGCGGTTCCGGGCAGTCTCCACCTGCGTTTTCGGGCCTGAGTGTCCCACGTGTCTGTCACGTTGTTTGGAGGACCTCGGGGGCTTCGAAAGGCCCCAGGAATTTTGGGCGCCCCAGGAGAGTGGGGTCCGTAGCAACCTATTTTTTGTTTCCAGACAGGGCTAGGACGAGAATAAATCCGTCCCAGAGCTTCCCAGACCTCATTGTTTCCAGAGCGCTCTGAGAAGGCCGCTGCGCCCGAGACATCCTCCAGAGCCGCCAGATCTCAGAGATTCTCGATTTATCCGCACCCGATTTCATCCTCGTCCTGGCTTCGTTTTCAATGGCCCAAAGTTCATCCACTGGTTTTCGGCATTCTTAGGCCACCTAAGGACCGTCATAATACTGTTGGAGAGGACGGAGTCCAGGGCCAGGGCCCGTCTATGTTGGTCCTCTTCGGTCAGGAGGAAGAACACCCAGGGACACAAGTAATCGTCGACTCCCCAGCGTTATTGGAAAGTATAGGAAGTGGTAGGGGGAATTCGAAAATCCAGAAAAGATGGAACGTCTTGGGGATCATGGGGTTCGTGCGTGTGTATATTTAATTTGTGTCCTTGGGCCCCTTGAGTCAGGAGCCTTCTCCCTCATGGCACCAGTCTCGGGCAGGGTGAGCGTTATCCAGAGTGCTCGTTTCGAACATCGCCCTCGCCACCACGCCACTCGAACTCACACCAAGCGTCTCCTTGCGTGCGTGTTCTTTGCATATGGTGCGTGCGTCTCTCCGATCAGGCTTTGCCTGAGGGGTCCTCGCTGCTCTTTGGTCAGAGACTGGTGGCCGCTGGTCCCTCCTTCAGAGGCGTTCCTCGGGGCTCTGCCCTGGGTTGCTCGGGGTTGCCCGTGCAATGCCACGCACCGCCCCGCAGCGCCACGCAGTGGCAAGCAGCGCCAAGCAGTGCACAGCAGCGCCACAGGAGATCCAGCAATGGCAAGCAGTGCAAGGCAGCGCCATGCTGAGCCACGCAACGGTTCTACGTAATGCCGTTCAGCGCCAAGGTGCACGAAGCGATGCTTTTGTATTGTGGTTCGAACATGCGCGTTGCCCAGAACTGCTTTCCATTAGTTCAGAATGGCGCGGACCTAATTGGGGTCGCGTCAGGTTCCCTACAAGATCGGGCATGCCCAACGCCTGGGTAGATATTCCATCCACAGGAGGTTTCCACATCTGCGGCTGGCCTCGGACACCATATGAGCGAACACTCATACTACATTCATACGTCAATGCCCCCCCCAGTGGTCACTGTTGGCGGTGGGTTGGTCGAGTTGCACTTCGACCGTAGTCTCCTCCCCGCGCGTGCGCGCCAACTTTGAGTCTGGGGGAGCGGGGGAGTCTCCGCCGATTGGTTCCCTCGGCCGTACGCACACGACGTGCGCGCGCGCCAACTTTGAGTCTGGGGGAGCGGGGGAGTCTCCACCGATTGGTTCCCTCGGCCGTACGCACACGACGTGCGCGCGCGCCAACTTTGAGTTTGGGGGAGCGGGGGAGTGCCCACTGATCGGTTCCCTCGGCCGTGCGCACACGACGTGCGCGTCGCCCCCCAGGGGGGGGCGCCGCGCGAGCCGAGCCATCCTGCAGCCGTCGGCGCGTGCTCGGCGGCGGGCGCCCTCCTCTGGCCACGCCCCAACGGGCAGCGACGCGGCAGGCTCGGACGTGCGCCTCCAGCGGGGAGCGCACAGCTCCTTGGCATCGCTCGGACGTGTGCATTTTTTCTCGGCGAGGACCATGAAGGACCATCCTGGACCATCGAGCAAAACACACACACACACACACACACACACGAAACCGAAACATGCACGGGAAATTGACGTCCGAGCGACGGCAAGGCTCGAGCAGGAGATCGGCTGCAGGACGGATCTTCCCCACAGCCACTTGTTCGCCCGAATCTACGGAAGCAGGTGTCTAATGCCTGCAGGCCTGTGAGCACGATGCGGAATTGCTGTAGATGTCGGCGAAAGCAACCTGAGGGCGAGTCAGTTCTGTAGTCGATCTCCTACCTTGCGCATTGGCGTGGCAGTGTGCGTCCCAGGGTCTGCGTTCCCAGGAGACTCTGCGGGCCCGCAGAGGCCCGCCGCGGAGCAGATTCCCAGGGGAGGACCCCCAGAACGAGCCTGGGGCCCCCCCTCAGGCGACCAGGCGCGAGGATGCCCTGACCTGCCAGGAGGCAAAACAACATAACACCAGGGCCTCAACAATTCAATTCCAGCCAATGTTTCAGGCAGTTCAGCTCGGTCTGGAGGTCTGGAGGCCTTTTTGGGGCACTCTGGAAGGTCCGGGGAAGAGCGGGGGGCCCTGGAGGCGACCGGGCGTGGGTAGTACAGGCCGCTGCGGCTGCTCGAGGAGACCTCTGGTTCTGTCTTGTTTGTTTCTGCGTCCCCGGGCGAGGAGCGGGCGTGGCTGTGGGGGTGGAGGGGTGGCGCGAGGGGAGGGGTGGCGGGGGGAAGGGTGCCTGCCACGTTGCTTCTGGCCACGGCGGGGCCGCGGGTGGGGGTGGCGGGGGGGGAGGGGTCGGGGGGAGGGTGCTTACCACGTTGTGTGCGTTGCTGGCCACAGCGGGGCCGCAGGGGAGGGACCCCACCGGAGTGCGGCGGATTCCTTGGCATCGCTCGGACGTGTGCGTTTTTTCTTCGGCGAGGGCCATCGAGGAGCATCCTCGATCATTGAGCGAAACAACCACGCACGAAACCGAAGAAAGCACAGGAAGTGGACGTCCGAGCGATGGCGAGATTCTGCACACGCGAGGTGCAGGTGTGCGGGGGGGGGGGAGGGGGCAGCATGCGCCCGGAGCGTGCGCGCGGGGCACGCGGTTGCACGCGTCCACGGCCACCCCCCCAGGGGGGAGGAACCAAACTTCAAGTCGGCGGCTTCTGCGCATGTATCGGGGGTGGACAGACCTCCTACCCTGACACGTCGATTAGCGAAATGGCCGTTTTCGGTTCGGGAGAGGGCGTTGCGGCCGTCATTTTTGCTGGTCCAGGTCCGTCGGTTTCGGTCCCAGGCCGTTTTCATTCAAGGGAGGTTCACTAAAGGGAGGTTTGTCCACCGCCGAATGTAAAGAACGTATGCAGAGAGGGGAGGGGCTGCAGTGTGCGCCTGGCGCCTGCGCGCGGGGCACGCGGTTTCACACGTCCACCGCCCAGGGGGGGACCCAACTTCTAGTCGACGGGTCCACGGCCCCCCAGAGGAGACCCGATGTTTAGTCGGCGGCCTCTTTACGCGTACAGTTGTCTGCGCTGAGCGATGGGGGAACGGAGGAGGAGGAGGAGGAGGAGGAGGAGGAGGAGGAGGAGGGGGACCAGTGCAAACCCAATATGCATCATAGATGTTGCAATCTACCCTCCCTCCAAGCCCCCTCTTTGATAGGCGCCATACAAGGGTTCATACTCACTGAAGGAAGTACCCCGTTTGAAAAAAAAAACCGTTTGAAAATCTTGAGCTGTGCCAGAACACCATTCTTGGAACTTCAACGCCGCGAATTACCGTTATTGTTGCGTCTTGGCGATCCCGAATCGTGCCAGAACGCATTGTATGGGACTTAAGCTCCACGAATCAACGTAACCGCTGCGCCCTGACTGTCAGATATCGTGCCAAAATACCATGGCAGGGAAACCGTTGTAAACTTTTGAATCGACTGCGCGGCGCTAAGGCGAGAGCTACATTTTGAAAAGGAACCGCCGTCCAGCCGTGAAATTCTTACAATTTTGCATGACGAATATACCGGGCGTTAGGGCAAGAGCCATTTGTTGAAAAGGAATAACCATCCATCCGCGAAAGTCTTACACTTTTGTATGGCGAATGCGCGCGGCGCTAAGGAGAGAACCGCATTTTGAAATCGACCCGTTCTCCGTCCGTGAACTTCTTACGGTTTTGGATGACGAACGAGCGCGGCGCTGAGGCGAGAGCCACATTTTGAAAACGACCTGTCTTCATTCCGTGGAACTCGCAATTCTCTAAGACGAATGCGCGAAGGCGAGAGCCACAGTTTGAAAAGTATAGCCGGCCCGCAACTTGTGAACTTGTTGTCATTTCCTTGAGCTCCAGGATCGTAAATTCTCAGGAAGTCTCAAGCGAAACGCCCAGCCCGCAGATGACGAACGCGGGAGAGTGGTTCCTCCTGGGTGCGACGACGCGTGCACAACCAGGCAGCCCTCGAGGAAAGCATTTCTTGGGAAGGAGGGGAGGGAGGAGGCGCGAGGAGGAGCGATTAGGCGGAGAAGGAGGAGCGAGGAGGAGCGAGGAGAAGCGAAGAGGAGCGAGGAGGCGGAGAAGGAGGAGCGAGGAGGAGCCCAGGAGGAGGAGGAGGAGGAGGAGGAGGACCAGTGTAAACCCAAGTGTCATCAACGATGTTGGCAGAAACCCTCCCTCCAAGCTCCCTCTTCATAGGCCCCTGCAAGGGTTCATCTCCACTGAGGGAACTGCCTCGTTGGAAAACAAATGTTTGAAGACCCTGAAGCATGCCGAAACATTGTTCTCGGGATTGCATCGCCACGGATCAACCTGACTGTTGCGTCTTGACGATCCTGAGTCTTGCCAGGACGCCATTCTTGGGACTTCAACACTGCGAATCAACGTAATGACTGAGGAGGAGCGAGCAGGAGCGAGGAGGAGGAGGAGGAGGAGGAGGAGGAGGAGGAGGAGGGAGCAGGAGGAGGAGGAGGAGGAGGAGGAGGAGGAGGAGGAGGAGGAGGAGCGAGGAGGAGCGAGGAGGAGCGAGGAGGAGCGAGGAGGAGCGAGCGAGGAGGAGCGAGGAGGAGCGAGGAGGAGCAAGGAGGAGCGAGGAGGCGGAGGAGCGAGGAGCAAGGAGCAGGAGCAGGAGGAGGAGGAGGAGGAGGAGGAGAAGCAGGAGAAGGATGAGGACCGAGGAGGACCGAGGGGGACTGTTGATGGGGGAGCGAACAGGAGCGAGGAGGGCTGGGGAGGAGGGCCCCCCAGGGCGGCGCCCGCCGCGCCCGAGGTTGTGGCGCCGGGGCGCCCGCGGGGCCCCCATGGGCCTCGGGGGAGGCCCCGCCCCTCGGAGCGGGCCGCCGCGCGGGCGCGGCGCTGCGCGGCTCGGAGGTAAACAAAGTGAGCTGGCGCGGCGCTGCTCCGGAGCGACACCCAGAGATCCAACGTATTGACAAAAAACATCACGGAGGTTTTTTTGTTGTTTTCGGCCTCGAGGGGCCCTCGCTGGGCCCCAGGACCGTCAACAAAACGTCTCAGGATGAAGAACCGTTCCTCGGAAATATGTCGGAACTTCCAGGGTCCCGTATGGAAAACATCTCGACATCGGATCTCTGGGAAAGGACGTACACGTACATGAATCCACGTTGGTTTCGAGGGTACGCAGTGCGCGAATGTTCGTGTCACGCTGCCAGTCTCGCGGGCTGGGGGGCCGCGTTCATTTGCGTGGTTGGACGCGTACGTCCTTCGTGGCCTCTTTAGCTCCGTTGTCGTCCTCGTCCTCGCTGCGAGCAGGAGATCGGCTACAGGATTGAGTCACCCCAACTTGTTTTGTTCGTCGCATCCAGACAGTATGTGAAGGATCCCGTAGAACTACGATGACTCTACGTACTATTCCTGGATCCGACAGAAAAATCAATTTTGAGGTAAATGAGCTCTGCATTCGATCTCCTCCTCGAGTCCTTGTACTCGCTGTCGCTCGTTCGTTTTCGGACGTTCTCGCTGGTTGTCGGAGGCTCTCTCGCCTCCGGACGCCTTCAGCAGCTGCGCCTCGCCGATCGAGCGTTCCAGGGGTGCCCGGAGCGTCCCGATCGGCCGCCAGAGGTCCGAGGCATGCTCCGAAGATTTGACATCCTCGCGTCATGGGCAACAAACAGCGACGGAAGGTCTTGACGGCAAGCTTCGGCCTGCGGTGGGGGACCTCTACCGGGCCCCAGGGCCGGCACGGAACGATCTTCGGAGGGAAGGGCTGCTCCCCAGGGAGGGGGTCCAGACCTCTGGGGATCTGGGCCTCCCAGATGAGGTCGGAGCAGATGGCGTCGAAGGATTGCGGCGCATCGCCGATGCATCGGCGTTGCATCGGCGATGCGGGTCGACGTGGGGCCCAAGTTTCTCCACGCCGACGTTGCCGATGTATCGCCGACGTCGCAAGTGCATAGCCGCAAAGCCGATGCATCTGCGATGCATCGCCGATGCATCGGCGACGCGGCGAGATCCTCCGACCCCATCTACTATCAGGAGCGAAAGAAGGACGTACATGTACATGAATCCACGCTGGTTTCGAGAGTACGCATGGCGCAAATGTTCGTATGACGCGGCCGGTCTCGCGGATCGAGGGGCCGTGTTCATGTACATAGCTGGGCGCGTACGTCCTTTGTGGACTCCCTATACTAGGACCCCATCTAGGAGGCTTCTGGTGGAGCCGCGTGGCAGACACGGCACGACGCGGGATTGTCTGGGTCGTGGCCGTTCTCCGCGCGCGGCTCCGTCGCCGCCGGGGGCCATCGCCGTCGCCGCCGCGGGGCGCGGCTCCGAAGCAGCGGCCAGGCGGGGGCCGGTGTTGGGGCGGAGTTTGGTCGCCCTCGTGGTCGTCCTCGTCGTGCTCGGCGTGCTCGTCCGCGGCGTCCTCGGCGTCCGCGGCGGCGCCGTGCCTGAGTTCCTCTGTGTGTGTCCCTGCGTGGGCCCCCGTCGCCGCCTCTGCCGGACGCAGCGCGGAAGTCGAGCCAGGACGGATTTTGGGGATGGGGTAGGAGGAGGAGGAGGAGGAGGAGGAGGAGGAGGAGGAGGGAGAGGATGAGGCGGAGGAGGAGGAGTAGCAGGAGGACCAGTGTAAACCCAAGAGCCACCAACGATGCTGGAAGACACCCTTCCCCCATGCTTCCTCTTCGTAGGCCCTTACATCGGTTCGTTTCCAAAGAGGGACCTGCTTCGTTGGAAGACAACCGTCTAAAGACCCTGAAGCGTGCCAACACATTGTTCTCTGTAGTCCAACGCCACGGACAAACTTGATTGTTTCGCCTTGACGATCCTGAATCGTGCCAGAATGCCATTCCTGGGACTTCAACACCGCGAATCATCATAACTGTTCCGCCCTCATAATCGTGAATCCTTCCAAAACACCAGTTCTGGTACGTCGGTCACTGGAATCCGTGAAATTCGTGCAATGTGTTAAACAGATTGTTCGCGGTGCTATGGCGAGAGCCACATTTTGAAAAGGAGCTGCCCTCAATCCGTGAAACTCTTGCAAATTTTGAAAACGAATACACGCGGCGCTAAGGCGAGAGCCGCATGTTGAAAAGGAACCGCCATCAATCCGTGAAGCTCTTGCGAACTTTGACAACGAATGTTCGCGGCGCTAAGGCGAGAGTCACATTTCGAAAACCACCCGCCCTAAATCCGTGAAGCTTTTGCGCTAAGGCGAGGGCCACAGTTTGAAAAGGAGCCGCCCTCAATCCGTGAAGGTCTTGCACACTTTTTGAGCAAGTGTGCGCGGCGCTAAGGCGAGAACCACAGTTTGGAAAGGAACCGGCATCCATCCGTGAAACGCTTACATAGTTTGTAAATGAATGTGCGCGGCGCTAAGGCGAGAGCGACATGTTGAAAAGGAACCGCCCTCAATCCGTGAAACCCTTGCAACATTTAAAAAATAATGTGCGCGGCGCCAAGGCGAGAGCCACAGTTTGAAAACCACTTGCCTTGAATCAGTCAAACTCCTGCAAATGCTTAAAACGAATGTGCGCGGCGCTGAGGCGAAAGCCACATTGTGAACACGACCCGCTCTCCATCTGTGCAACTGTTGACACAGCGTGAGCTTCATAATCATAAATGGTGAGGGATTCTCAAGCGAAGCGCCCGGCCCGCCCTAAAAACTGGCCCCGGGGTGCGACATGGAGACGTTATCTATAAGGAATGGAGGAGGAGGAGGAGGAGGAGGAGGAGGAGGAGGAGGAGGAGGAGGAGGAGGAGGAGGAGGAGGAGGAGAGGGGGAGGGGGGGGGAGGGGGAGGGGGAGTGGGAGGAGGAGGAGAGGAGGAGGAGGAGGAGCAGGAGAACGAGGAGGAGGAGGAGGAGGAGGAGGAGAACGAGGAGGAGGAGGAGGAGGAGGAGGAGGAAGAGGAGGAGGAGGAGGAGGGGGAGGAGGGGGAGGACAAGCTAGGTGCGCTCGCGTCATATCTGACGTCCTACCCCTCCCTCCCATCCCTTACCATGGCGCTGATTTTCTCTATCCGCGGACGCGTGTCGTAGCGGACCTGTGGCTCCGCGCGCGCGTGCGTAGTGGGTGGTGGTGCGCGTGCGTGCGTGCGTGCGTGTGTGCGTGGTTGTGGTGGTGGTGGTGGTGGTGGTGGTGGTGGTGGTGGTGGTGGTGGTGGTGGTGGTGGTGGTGGTGGTGGTGGTGGTGGTGGTGGTGGTGGTGGTGGTGGTGGTGGTGGTGGTGGTGGTGGTGGTGGTGGTGGTGGTGGTGGTGGTGGTGGTGGTGGTGGTGGTGGTGGTGGTGGTGGTGGTGGTGGTGGTGGTGGTGGTGGTGGTGGTGGTGGTGTGTGTGTGTGTGTGTGCGTGTGTGCGCGTGTGCGTGTGGCATGGCACGGGAAATGACGCCAGCGCGGCAGCGGGAGCACGAGTCGAAACGGGCGGAAGCGCGGAAATGAGGCCAACGCTGCAGCGGGAGCACGATTCGGAACGAGCGGAAGCACGGAAATGAGGCCAGCGCTGCAGCGGGAGCACGATTCGGGAACGAGCGGGGCCCGAAAATGAGGCCGGCGCCTCAGCGAGAGCAGCATTTTAGAAAAAAACACAAGCGAAAACCCAACTCCGGGGAATCCTGTGTGTAAAAAAACAGTACGCGGGGGGGTGCCGAATATCTTCCGGACGCCATCAGGGGAAGTGGGAGAGTAGTATTCATATTGTGTAATTGTGGAGGAGGGGGAGGAGAGGAGGGGGAGGAGGAGGGGAGAGGAGGGGGGAGGAGGAGGAGGGGGAGGAGGGGGGGGAGGGGGAGGCGAGGGAAGGAGGGGGAGGAGAGGACGAGGAGGAGGGGCGGACGAGGAGGAGGCGGAGCAGGAGAGGAGGAGCAGAAGGAGGACTGAGGACTGAAGACTCAGGAGTGAGGACGCAGGAGTGAAGAGTGAGGAGTGCCGAGTGAGGAGTGAGGAGGAGGGCGAGGAGCAGGCGGAGGAGGCGGACGAGGAGGAGGAGGAGGAGGAGGAGGAGGAGGAGAAGGAGGAGGAGGAGGAGGAGGAGCGAGATGGAATCATGAGACAGAGGAGGAACAAAAGGAGTAGGGGCGGAAGGAGGAGGAGAGGAGGAGAAGGAGGAGGAGCAGGAGGAGGAGGAGGAGGAGGAGGAGGAGGAGGAGGAGGAGGAGGAACGAGGAGGTTGCGGAGGGGAAGGAGGAGCGACGAGGAGAAGCGTGTCGCCGAGGGCCGTTCGGGTCGCTCTGCGCAAGAGGGCGCCCCGCACGTCGGGCCGTGCAGTTTTTGTCGGAAAGTTTCTTTCGGAGGTCAGCGCGGCGCTCCGCCGCCGTCTTACCCGAGGGCCCTTCGATCCGATCGATGTCGATGCCGATTTCGATATCGAGTCGATTTCGATGCGATTTCGACCCATTCGATTACGATCCGAGTTCGATCCGTTTCCGAACTGGGGTTGCAGGGTCGATTTCGGTCGCATCGATCAACTCTGGCCGGCCCGATCAGATGCGATTTCTATTCTCGGCCGGTCCGATGCAGCTCGTTGTTTGCATGGCGCTGTTGTGCATCTTGGCGCAGCTGATCCGGTACGACTTCGATTCGGTGCCGACCCGATCCGATTTCCCGCTTCGATTCTGGTTGTTCTTGGATTTGCGGCCCTCAGAGGTGGAAGCGGCCCCACATTTCCGACTATACGATGTTTGAAATCCGGGCGTTTCCTTACGACTTCTCCAGCGGAGCCCATTATGGTGCTCCCTGGGGCCACCGACCATGAATCTGGGTAAGCATTGGCTCTGGTATCTCCTTGCTCCAACTTGGCATCCACTTTCACCTGACTGAACAAGTACGTACTCGTTTTACTATGCCCTGGTCTGGCTGAACAGCCCCCTCGTGCGGCCTACGATGGGTCCCTGTCGTGCCCACGAGCCCACAGG